AATCACCAGACCATGCCACGCTTTTATTAGATACTAGCCTAAACTATATTATATAAAAAAACTATAAAGTACTATTATTAGTATTACTATTACTATCAGTCGCAACACTGACTGTATGGTGTACCACTGTGATATTTGTATTATTAATAATTATATTATTACTCTTAATTTGTTTTACTTTAGCCTAAGGTTTTAGTTACAAACAAAATTTAGTGTAACAAATAACAATAATGGTCTTATTTCTTAATTATTAATTTACCTTATATTATATTAACAATCCTCTTTGGTTTAACAATATCTATGTGGTGAGATCGAATAACTTATTACAGTTTACACACCTAAACAACAGTTACACCGAGTACATTATTCAACCGTCGTAATCTAATCCCTACTCCTAATGTTTTGCTTTCAAATTTCACCCATTCAAAAATTTGAAGGCACCCGGAGTAGCTAATCGATACAATCTGCTCTAAAGCGGCACACCACAATTTAATTGTACTTAAAATTCGACAAATTCTGTAATAAGGCACTTTTAAAGATATATAGTATTTATTAAATAAGCATTTCTTGTTATGATGATACATGACAAATTTCATATAAAAAGTATCTAAAAGCGATTGGAATAGCATGGATTATTCATTTGTAATTATTATTCTTAAAATATTATAAGTAGTAGAAATAAACTGAGCAAAAGGAATATAATTATACCATAAAATATATTTTTCTACCGTGTTATACTTTTAAGTTCTTCAAGTTGTATTTTATTTTTATAATCTTAAAAAAACAACAGTAAGTAATATTCAATCGATAACCGAACAAATGCATAGGGAATGAATAGAATGTCTTAAGTTATTTAAATAGACACACAAGGTACTATACACAGATAAAAAATACCCAACGATTTGACATGATGCTAATGGTCATTTTCAAAAACCGAGCAAAAAATTGGTACTGAGTGATACACGTCGTTGGCAATGAATATTGTGGACATACTGTAACTTGTAAGGGAACAAATAAAGAATGTAGTGTTTTATAATACACTAGCTGAGTTACCCGGCGTTGCACGGTGAAAATTTGGATTTGAAATGTATAGATCAGTATTTTTTTCAGCAAATTATTCAGTAAGTACACAAAAGCTGTGATGCGAGAAATAAAAAAAGCATTTAATCACACAGAGCTTTATTTGAAATTAGATTTTGTTTGAGCTTGTCTTGTTCTTTGAGCCTGAAGTCGTACATCATGTTGCTCCTTTGTTTCTTGCTCTCTGTAAGTTATTTGTCTTAATGTTTGTGCTTGAAGTCTGGTTTGATGTTGTTCAGAAGTTTCTTGTTGTATATATCCAGCTTGCTTTGATGATTCTGACTGAACTCTGGCGTTGTGCTCTTCAACAGTTTCTTACTGTTTTTGAGTAGCCTGCCTTTCAGCTTGAGCTCGAAGTCTAATTTTACGTTGTTCCAAAGTCTCTTTCTGTATTTGAGCACCCTGTCTTGCAGCTTGTGCTTGAAGTCTTGATTGCGTTCTTCTTCTGTTTCAGCTGCTCTTTGTGCTTGCATTCTTTTAGCGGCAGAAG